CCCAGGCAGAGAGATGCCCCCTGAGACACAGTAGCCAGAGTCTTGGGGCAGGTTGTCACCATGGAATCTATTAAGAAAATCTTTCCAACCCCTCCTGCCCCAGTCCTTCCCTGGTCCGCTCACCTCTCAGTCCTGAACATTTCTACAGTTACCCTTTGACCTCAAAGCCTCAATTCTTCCCATAGATGTTCAACATAGTATATAAAAACTGATATGAGCAATTTCGCCATAAACTGAACCAGCCCAGTTGTACCAGTTGTACATGAACTTCCTGGGATGCCCATGTTGTAGATAATGGACCTTATTTTCTGAGTCATGGGTTTGAGCCAGAAGGTAGGAGGTAAGTCCCTCAGTGATGGGGTCCCCAAGCCACAGCCCTTCAGCATCTGCTCGCCACCTAACCCCACTGCTCCCTCCTCAGCTCCCATGCATGGCAGCCTCGTGGGGGAGGGGGGTCTCACTCAGCCTTGACTTGATTTGGGAGTCAGCCATTTCACCACTTGCTCTGCAGGAATAGCAAGAAGCAGTCTGCAATACCATCTCAGTGAGCTTTCCAGCCAATTAATAAATTGTTCATGAAACCAGAGATTAAACCCTTAGTGAATGATGATAATGCAGCTTACTCAGGGAACTGGGATATGTAGAGGAAATGTGAGTTAATTTTAGTGGGTTTATTTAAGTGGCAGAATGTATCCTAATAGTGGAATAAATTACTTTCATCTCATATTTATAGAATCACAAATGGCATATAGGAGGTCACTTAAATTTTTTCCAGTTACATTTTAATGCAGTGGGTGAACAGAGGAATTTTCTCCAATTAACCCTCACCCATAAAATAGATGGAAGCTGACTGACTCTGCAACAAGTGAGGGCAGGGAGCTCCCTGATGCTTGCCCCTCTCAACTGGGACCACTGTATGGGATTTCATGCTTTCCAGAGTGTGAGAGGTTCACTGCAGTCTAGGTGATGGTCCCAATGTCCAGTAGTATATCCAAGCATGGGAATAGCACTTGACAGGTATTGGCAGTGGGTGGGTGAATGGGTGGATGGATGGACAGATGAACTGGAGTGGGGGTGAATGAATAGGTGGATGGGTGATTGAGTGGGTGGATGTGTATAAATTGGAGCATGGATGAACTAAAGGAGTGGATGGGTGATTGATTAGATAGACAGATGAGTATGGATAGAGTATGGATAAGCTGGTGGATAGATGAAGTTGATGAATGGATGGATGACTAGATAGATAGATAGATGGATGACTAGAGGGATGGATGAATAGATGGATAGGTGGGTGTATGAATGGATAAAGTGGATGGATCCATTGGAGGAGATGGATAACTAGATGGATGAATGTTACTTGGGTGAATGAGTGGATAAATTGTATTAATTGTAGTGAATGGATAGCTAGATGGATGGCTGTATATAAGGATGGATGGCTGTTGGATAGATGCTTAGGTCAATACCTGCTTGAAAGAATAAATTATTAAGTAAATTTATAGAATATTGATAAATATGTAGATGTGTTCACATCCCACTCCTCCTGTAGACCATAATCTGCCCCACTCATAAAGCTACAAATGGTCACTAAAGGTGCCAGGACCTTGGCATGTATTTTGAGCTAATTTTTCACAGAGATACATTCCCATTGTAAGAAGAATCCTGGACACCAACTGGCTTTGTCCTTCATCACATAATCCCAGTGTTTAGTTGCCATCAAGATGATCCTCCTAGTCTCTCTCCCTCTGCCCTGCCCTGCCCTACAAGAAGCACTGTGCCCTTTCCTGAGCCCTGCCAGGGCCTCATGTTTATGCCCTTGCACATGCTCCTTCTTCTGACCTTGTTCCAGAGAGGGGCTGGGGTATGATTCAGCAGGTGTGAGACCCTGGGCTTGATCCTCAGTATACAAAAAAAATGAAATGAAAGAAAGAGTAAGAAATAGAGATAGAGAAAGAGAGAGAAGAAACCACCCCAATTTCCAGCAACCCCAACATCATCCGTAGCACAGTTGCTGAGATACATGTTCATGCCCCCTGCTCAACCCTTAATGGCCGGGGCCTCTTTCCCATGAGCCATACCCAGGATTCCCCTCTGGATTCTTGGAGATTTCCCTGTATGTTCAGCTGTTGAGATACCTTCACATTGAATGAACCATGGGGCCTGACCTGCTATGTGCATAAGCTCTACATAAAATGGCTCTGGAGAAGCAACGCATCATTTTAGGAATAATTTTACTCTAGCAAGATCCAAGACATGACAGTCTTGCAGCATCTGGTACCATAGGATAGCTGCTAGGCTAAGAAGTCAGGTGGCAGCCACCCTCAATCTGGGTTCCCCTCCACAGGCCATATAACCCAATGACAAAACCCTGTGACCTTGACCTAGAAGTGACCACCTCTCTGAGGCTCAGGCTCCCCACCTGTGACATGGGGCTCCTGTGACAGCAATCAGAATTCAATGGATGACAGAGTCCGTGGAAAGTAGCAGGCCTGGTGTGTCACCCACAGTGAGTGTCCATTTGTGCTAAAACAGAGCACAGAGGGTCCACGACTATATCTTGAGGTGCCCCTTCCTCTACACTTCCACTGAGGCAAGACCAATTTCTTGCTCTGTCCTTGCAGGGGGACTTGGGTGGGAGGGGGCTGGCATGCTTTCCCTGCTGCCATATTTATCCCAGTGCTAGAGGAGTCACTGCCTTTGGGAACTGGGAGCTTCCCTCCAAATTGAAAGCAGCGCCTACCTCTGCCAGGCTGCAGTAACTGGACGATGAATTTCCCAGCCAGTCATGCAGGGAGGTTCCTGGGCCAGCTGGCTCTGTTGGCAAGCACAGGAGGTGCCACTCCACGCTTGGCTGCTACTGAACCTGGTACCAAAACACTGGCAGAAGGGTGAGGCTCTCATCTGCCATGGTGGCTGGCAGAGCAGGGAGCATCTTCAAGGAGACCGTTCAGGGCTGGCATCTGGGTACCTAGTGCTGGGCGCACACACTCAGCTGACCCTCAATTTTTGTTCTGGGTACCTGAGGCTGGTCTGTGGCCATGGTAGCACTTATGCCTTGGACTGTTGGGTGAGCGGTGTGTCATCCATGGGAGCCGCTGGGACCCACAGACTTGGACTGTCAGATTACCCCACCCCCACCCCATACACACATACTCCCACTGTCCCCAGGAAGGGGGATGCCTCTTTAACTGTTGGCACCTGGAGGGCAGGATGAGGGTGGCACTGCTGGGAGAGCCAGCAGGTCTGGACTTGATCAGAAGCACCCCGGCAAGCAAAGTGACCACTGACCCAGCTCCAGCCCTAGCCTTGGCCAGTGACTCCAGAGTCACAGAGGGGTCACACTAGAGGAATGTGGCCTGCAGTGCCTCTTCATGGCCTCTGTCTCTGGCGCTGTGTCAGAAAGGTACACTGAAGCTGGCAAGAGAACCAGCATCCAGCAGTAATTCCCACCGTGGGCATCCATGAGGTGACAGAGGCCAGCGTGCACTCTGGCCACCCACCAAGGATGACATTTCTCCTGCACTGAGCTTGGACCTGGTCATTTAAACATGGATCACTTTTCAGGGGGAGAGAGAGGAAGGGGACATCTTACTGTGTCCCTTGTTAACTGTGGGTGCTGAAGGCTAATGGGAAAGCTTTTTTTATTTTGGGTCACACCTGGCAGTGCTCAGGGCTTACTCCTGGCTCTGTGCTCAGGACCACTTCTGGAAGGTTCAGGGGACCATATGGGGTGCTGGGGATCAAACCCTGGTCTGCTGTGTGCAAGGCAAAGCCTTTCCCACTGGACTATAACTCTGGTCCACAAACAGGAAAGTGTAACAGAGAGTGGCCCGTGGCTGAGGGAATCGAAATGAACTCTGGGCCCCTCACCTCAGACTCAGCACTTCCCCCAGGTCAAAAGGCAGAGAGGAACCCCCAAAAGCAGAAAGTACATGCCTGGCTACTCTGGGGCTGCGAGGCTCCCTGTTTTCCCTGCTTGTCAGCCTGTGTTTCATGGGTCCAGGGAGACTGTGTTTAGGGGTACACGCCTCTAATTGTGCAGTTCCAAGAGTATCGGTCCTTTTACCTTCACAAAATGTCCCTCTGAACCTTGAATGGCGTCTTCTGTTTTAAAGTCTTATTTGTCTCTCTAATATTAACGCAGCTGCTCCAGTTTGATTGGGAAGCCTAACCCATTGACTGGGGTCATTCGTATATTAGATCAACATCCACCATTTTACTTAGTTTCTTTTTTCTACTTAGCATTTGTTGTTTCTCTGTTTTTCTAATTTCAATCAATATTTTCTATTGCATTCATTTTTTTAGTGATTTTTTTTTACTCTTAGTGCCTTAGAGGTTCTTCTAGAACTTTCCATATACACAGAAGTTAATTCCAGCTCTTAATACTAGAGAGCAATACACAGAAGTTAATACTTAATACTAGAGAGCAGTACTATATACACAGAAGTTAATTCCAGCTCTTAATACTAGAGGTCCTGCTAGATAATTCTCACCCACCCACCCCCTTTGCTTGCGCTGCTGCTATTAGGTGTTCAAGAACTTTTCCAACTCCTCATCTTACTTACAGAGGCCCAGACGGGGCTAGTGGTCAGGCGAGGCTCAGGCTGGTCCTGGGCTCGGGCACTGCCAGGGGTCACTGGGCATGCGCGTGATCATTTGTGCCACTGAGCCTCCATCCCACACATCTGTAAAGGGGGAGCCCTGGTCCGACCCAGCTGAACAAGGAGACTAGCTGACACCTCAAGGCACTCACTCGCTGATCATCCTGGAGACAGGCAGGGGGTGCTTCCCACCCACTGGCCTCAGCCCCCACTGTCCCTCACTGCTCTCAGCTCCCCATCGGCCTCTGCTGCCCACAAATCCCGCGGAGGAGCCTGACCCCCACCATCTTCCCTCTGGGGCTGACTCACAGGGTGCAGGGATACAGGGGGAAGCTGGTGGCAGCACTCGAGACCCCCCTTTCTCAGAAAAGCTCCCCTGCCCTCTCTCTCCCCACCCCACAGCCCCGTACAACAGTACGGGCAACTACTACTCCACGTTCTCGGAGAATGAGGAGCACAGCCACCTGCTCGTGTCGCCCGTGCTGGTGGCGAGCGCCGTGGTAGGTTTGGTGCTCCTCCTCTCCTGCATCACCATCATCGTGGGCAGCCTCCGGCGGGAGCGGCAGGCGCGGCTGCAGTGGTACCACCAAGAGCGAAACCGTCGCCGCCGCCGCCAGCGCCGCCAGCAGCGCGACGAGGAGTATGGCTTCAGTGAGTCACCCCCTGCCTGGGAGCCTGGGACCCCCTCCTGCATCCTGAGGGCCAGCCGGAAGGTGTCAAGGAGGCAGAAAAGCATTCAGGGAAGGCGCCTCAAGAGCGCACGGTGGGGGGGTGGAGTGGGGTGAGGGCATGCTCACAGCCACACCCCCATAATGTTCTGAGGGCAGGAGAGGGAGGCCAGGGGGCTGCTACCCAGCCCTGGGCACCTTGTGTGCAGATTGTCCCCAGAGTGGTGGGGAAGGACTGGGGAAAGGATGGGCAGAGAGACAGGTGTGGGGGTGGGGGTGACTAACAGCTGGGCTGGGGCTCGTGGCAGAAGATGGAGACAGAAGTGGGTGCAGGAGTGAGTGGGTGAGTGGGTGTGTGGGTCAGGGAGGTGGGTGGATAGGCAGGAGGGCAGAGGGGTGGGGAGAGTGGGGATCTGAGTAAGGGAGGGAGGAAGGAAGGGATGGATGGATGATGGATGGATGGATGGATGGATGGATGGATGGATGGATGGGTGGCTGGGTGGATGGATGGATGGATGGATGGATGGATGGATGGGATGGGATGGATGGATGGATGGGAGGGTGGGTGGCTGGGTGTCTGGGTGGGTGGGGGGATGGATGGATGGATGGATGGATGGATGGATGGATGGATGGAAGGGTGGGTGGCTGGGTGTCTGGGTGGGTGGGGGGATGGATGGATGGATGGATGGATGGGTGGGTGGGTGGGTGGATGGATGGATGGATGGATGGATGGATGGATGGATGGATGGATGGATGGAGTAGGTGAGGATGGAGAGAAGGGAAAAGGGGAAGGGAACAAGGGAGAGAAGCTTTTCCATTCCTAGAAAGGTCTGGAGCATTCAGAGGCAGACCTGGTGTCCTCTGTTAGGCTGAGAGGGGCAAATGCGGTTTGAGGGTCACAAGTTGGGAAGGTGAGTGAGGTGGTGTGGGCTGTGGGTGCCAGATAAGGGCTGTTTATCCAGAATTGGGGTCCAAGGCATTTCCCTTTTGTGGGGAGGCAGGGGAGAGTAGGTTTTTCTCCCCTGCGGTGGGAATGGGGGTGGGGCTTCTGGGGTTCTGAACCTTTGAGGTCTGGGCAGGATTGGGAAGCAGGAAAGGAGGGAAGGCACAGGTGGGGGTGCTGGAAGGGGCTTTGCACCGTCCTCGGGGATCTGTCTGGCAGGATGCCTGAAACAGACCCTGTTCTTCCCAGGACTGGAATATGAGCCACATGAACACCTCAGCCTCACCCTCTCAGGGGACAGTGACCCCCCAGAGTGGGGATGGAGTGAAGAGTGGGGTTTGGGATGTCTGCCCAGTAGGGTAGGCAGCCCCTGCTCTGGAAAAGCCATCAAGGGCTGGTAGCCACAGTCTCTCCCCTGGGGGTCACTGTGGGGGTGAGGGGCACCTTGCTTTATACCCTCGGTCTCCCTGTGTTTCTCCCCCAAATTCTACCAGATGCTCTCACTCCTACAGTTGGTGCCCTGCAGGGCCACGGGTCTCATCTCCCTCGCTCCCCAGTGTGTGGTCTGGGAGAGTGACACGTGTTTACATGCAGAAGCTTAAAGATGGTGGGAATGGAAGAAAGTGGGGGCTCAGGCGCCCACAGAGGACTCTCCGCTCAGCCCCACACTTAGTCTCCGAGCCAGAGGCTTCGCTCCCCCTTGTATCAACGGTGGGAAGGAGAGGAGGGACATGGGGGAGCTAGTCTGGGGCTCAGACCCACAGGAACCCCAGCTCTGCGGGTGAGGGGGGAGCCCCTAAGTCTCTGCTGCTGGGTCTGGTCCAGCCTCAGCCTGAAGCCCCCTCAACCTCAAAGAAAGTGGGGGGGAGGCAGAGTTCACAGGGCCTCCTGCTGCCCTCTGGCCCCTGCAGTAACACTATCAGCCTGCGCACAGGGGGACTTCACTAAATCTCAGGCTGGAGTGAGAAGGTTGCGCCCCACCTGCCTCGTGGAGGAGTCTGTGCAGTGTGGGGTGCTGTGTCGCTTGGCTACAGGCCTTCCTCGCATCTTTGAGGTGAAGATGCAGAGAAGAATCAAGGACAGAAGGTGGTGTGGGCCAGGCCAGAACATGCAGAAGCCCCCTGGGTTCGAGAGTGGGGAGAGTGTGGGGGACACAGGGCGCTCTGCAGTCCTCTTTGCCCAGCACTCTCCTCCCCATTTGGGGGTCTTCCTAGCCCAGCTCCACGGCTCCAAGCTTCAGGTTCACACCCCACTTCAGTTATCCGATGCCAGGGAAGAAACCCCAGGCCTCTCACACACAAAACCTGTTCTCTACCCCTGTGCCATGCACCTGTCCTCATGCCACAATCTTCTCTCTCATCTCCCTCCTTGGTTCCAGCTACTGTGGTCCCTCTGCCCAGCCTATTCCTCTTCCTCTCAATCATTCCTAATCACTCTGCTCTGGGATCTCCTCCTCCAAGAAGTCCTCCCAGACCTGCAGGCCATCCCTGTTCTCACAATGCACTAGACTCCTTAGGGCAGTCTGGCCACCACTCTGAGAGTCTTGCAAGGGCAGTGCCTGACACCAGTGTCCAGCCCAGGATGGGACCCACATCCTGGGACTGCCACTGTGTGTGTGTGTGTGTGTGTGTGTGTGTGTGTGCGCACACACACACACACACACATGGGTGGGTAGGGGGGTAATTAGAAGCAGCTATGCACGGTGAAATGGGGGGAGAAAAGAGCCTGGGGGCCTCCAGGAGGGCTGTGTGGCCCCTCCCTGGGCGCTGGCTGAGGCCTGGGCTGTTTGTCTGTCCCTGCAGTGTCGGAGGGACACATTTTCGGCCGCCGGATGCGCTCCATGTGCGGCACCCTTGACGAATGGCCCAGGAACCTAGAGCTCAACTCTTGGGGGGATGTGAACCCCGCGATTTTCCACAGGATGTACCCAGACTCTCCTCCCCGGTAAGGGGGCCACATGGGGGAGGAGGGCACATAGCCTATGTGGAAGCACATACCCCGTCCTCAAGGCAAACTCTCCGGAAAACACCTGCTCCGTGGGCCCTGATCAGAGGGTTCAGTGAGGGGCACACAGTTCATGGGAGAGGCCCGGGGGGTGGGGGAGGGGAGGATGCGGGGCCTCCCAGCTGCTCTTCTGGCTTCCCCAGAGAGCTGCCCTGGCAAGGTGGCGGGGAGTCAGGGGTGGGGTACCCTGGGGCTCTCCCCCACTTAAAGATGGAATAAGAAGGTATTGCAAAGACCTTGGGGTCCTGGGGAATGCAGCACCCCCACCCCCCAGCATCTCTGAGGAACAGCAGGAAGGAGGAAAGCCAAGCGGGGTGAGTGGGAACAGGGCAGCACCCAGAGGCCGCAGCTCATGACCCGGGGGGTGGGGGGGAGGCTATGCTCAAGGCTCTTTCCCAAACAGCCCGGAGGAGGGTCCCCTCTCTCTGGATGCCTGCTGCTCTGTGGATGATGTGGGCCCAGAAGCTCTGCATCGCAAGTCCTGGGAAAATTCTGTCTTGTTGCTCTGGTCTTGTCCACTTCCAGGTCAAAGTTCAAATGTGACAAGGTCCCGGGTAGGCAGGAGGATAAGGCGAGAGAGGGAGTCGGGAGTGTAGGTGTGCATGGGCCTGGGAGGAACTTTCACCTTCCAAGATGTGGGGGCACCTGGGGAGGGTCAGAGACCTCAGGTGAGAAGTTCCTGCTTCTCCTCACCCAGCAGGACCCTGGGAAGGATCCACATACTCCAGTGTACCCCAGAGTCGAGCAGCTCCCTTTTTCTGGGGTTTCCTGGGTGGGAAGGTGACACTGTGTGGTGGGGTGGCTTGAGAAGCCCCCCTCCCAATGTTACTGTCCTTGTGGCGGGCAGTGGGCACCTGAGGACGTGCCCACCCACTGCTGGGCCCGGGGAGATGAGCACAGCATAGTGGGGTCCAGACCGAGGTACCGGAGAGACGGATAAGATGTGGGTGGGGCTGTGCGCGGCCTCAGCAGCAGCCTCTGATGGACAGGCTTCTCCTGGTGGGGTCACAGGCCCTGAGGGTCCCTGAGCCAGTGGCAGTGGGAAGAAGGGTCAATGCATGGGGCAGTAGGGCCAGGCCCCAACTCCTTTGTGTATCCCCCTCCCCAAACCCTCATCCCACCCTTTGGGATGGGGGATCTTGTGTCCAAACAGCATTTGGTCATCGGGTAGCTGTTTCACTGGGGAAATCCTTTCCTGGGGAGTCCTGTCTGTACCCCCAGATAGATCCCCTCCCCTGTTAGCGAGTGGGGGCTGGGGAGATGAATCTCTGACATCCCTGACCCCCTCCATCTTCCCAACACTCTGGGAGCTTTTGTGCCCAAATTGATGGGGTTCTGAAGGAACCAGGGAATCTTGCGTAAACCTGAAAGGAGTGTGGGGGTGATGAGATTGCTCCTAGCAGCTCCCCCATATGCAGTGCCCGCTCTCCTCTAGTCACCAGGGCTGAGCAGCCAGAAGCCAGGTCTCAGAGCTGGTGTTCTGAAACACTCAGCTCCAGAACCCAGGGCCCAATGGCTGGGGCCTTCTGGGGTCAGGGCAGGAGGTGCCCACACAACAAAGGCCTGACCAGGTTCATGCCAGGGCAACACAGAGCTGCTGCTGGGTCCAGCCCAAGGCTGGCTTCCACCCAGCACTGAGGGAGCCTCTTCTCTTACAGCTACGAGGACTGCGTAGGGCCAGGGGCCACCCAGCTCTACATTCCCACTGATGCTCCACCACCCTACTCGGTCACCGATGCCTACCCACCGAATGGCAACCTGAATCCAGGTGCTGTGGAACCTGGCATCCCGAATCCGGTTGTCGTGCAGCCTGGCATCCTGAATCCAGGCACCGTGGAGCCTGGTATCCTCAATCCAGGTGCCCCGGTGCCTGGGGTTCTGGGTGCAGGCGGCCTGGAGCCTGGCAGTGGCCCTGGCCGCCCCAGAGATGAGCAGGTGCACAGCATCTCCATGGATGCCCTGCCCCCCTATGAGGTCCTGGTAAGCAGCCCCCGCTCCAGCCTGCTGCCACTGCCGGGGCCTGGGCCCATGAGCCCCCTGGACTCACCCAGCCTCGCCCCGGGAGGAGTGACTGAGTGAGCCAGCCAGCTAGGCCCTGTCAGTGCCTGAGGGAACCTCACCTCATCTTTCAGAACATGGACACACACACACACACACACACACGCATGCATGCACACACACCTGTGCACACACGTAGGCTTACATAGGCACACGATACACATGTGTGCACAAAGACACTTAACTTACACAGATGCACATTCTTTCGCACACAGTGGTGCATATACATGCACATGATATGCACTGTGCACATGCATGTACACATATACAGACTGGCACACATACACACTGATACACATATACACATACATGTACTTGCTCTGGTACACATACACTCTGGTACACATATATACACACTCTGGTACACACATTCTGATAAATATACACACACTCTGGTACACATACTGACACACATATACACACACTGGTATACATACACACTCTGGTACACACATACTGATACACATATACACGCACTGGTACACATACACACTCTGGTACACACATACTGATACACATATACACGTACTGGTACACGTACACACTCTGGTACACACATACTGATACACATATACATGCACTGGTACATACATACTGATACACATATACACACACACTCCGGTACATACATACTGATACACATATACACACACACTCTGGTACACACATACTGATACACATATACATGCACTGGTACACATACTGATACACATCTATACTCACTCTGATACACGCATACTGATACACATATACACGCACTGGTACACGTACACACTCTGGTACACACATACTGATACACATATACACACACTGGTACATACATACTGATACACATATACACACACTCTGGTACACACATACTGATACACATATACATGCACTGGTACACACATACTGATACACATCTACACTCACTCTGGTACACGCAAACTGATACACATATACACACACACTCTGGTACACATACTGATACACATATACACATACTGGTACACACTATACACATATACACACTCTGGTACACACATACTGATACACATACACACACATTCTGGTAAACATATACACACACTCTGGTACCCATAGACACTGGTACACACATACACACAGTGGTACTCATACACTCTGGTACACATTAATACATACACTGATAAACACACACACTAATGCACTGATACTACACATATGCATGCACAAGGTGCGTACTGGTCCACATACATGCATACACAAGCACATGAGTGCTCACTTGTACACATACAGGTGCACAAACACACTTGGACACAAGCATGCACACACATGCACACTCTACACAAACATGCACACACATAAACACTGGTGCACACACATGCATTCAGGATTTATGCACACATATCACACCTAGTACACACATATACCCAGACATGGGGACATACACTCATATGTGAAGGTTTTATCACCACAAAGTTCCCTCTGGCCTGTGGGCCAGCTCTGTAGGGGGACTGCTTTCCCCCCCCATCCCCACTGGTTGTCCCTGCCGTCCGCTGGCAGGCTGTGCCCAAGTTCTGATGCTGCACTTAGAAGTGCTCTGACTACCTAGCCCATCCCCACCCCACCTCAGGCAGCGTGTCCTTGGGAAGGTTCAGCGACTGGCTGTTCCTCTCCCACTGCAGGACCGAAGAGTCACAGCACCACTGCCCTGCCACTTACGGAGTGAGGGACTTGGTCTGGGAACTCAGGTACAACCTGGAGGACCCCAGCCCACCTTGTTTGCCCCCCACCCCAGTGCTCTCAGTCTGGTGCGCTAGCGGAGTTGGCTCAGAAGCCTTACCCTTGCCACGGGGAAGAGAAGGGCCCTTGGTGGGCACAGATGGTGTTCCCTGGGTCAGCCTGTCAGGCAGAGCCAAGCCTGTTTGAGGGGAGTCCCTGCCAGCGTCACCAGTCCTCGGGTGCCCCCCCTCCCCCCTCCCCCCTGCAGAGATCCTCTCCCTCACATTTCACTGTCTCCAGTAAAGGGCTAAAACAATTTAGCGCTCCCTTTCTTAAGAAGAGGGGGGCCCAGATGACACTTGTGCATTTATTTTCTGTAGAATAGAATTTTGGGTGCAGAACTGAAAGGGCTCCGCCCAGTGTTCCCCTTGGCGGGAGTGTCTGACTCCGCAGGGGAGGGGCCTGTTTACACGCAGTTCTGTCCACCTCCGTGCTCTACTGTTTTCTAGGCAAAAAATATATTTATCTGTCTGGTGTACTGTATCGCCTTTCTCACGCACTCCAGGAATGAGCCCCTTTAACGCACCCTGCTACTGCTACCCCTTGAGCTTGCTCGGGGCAAAAGGTCCAACCCCTGCTACTTGTCAATTGTGTGATCAGCTCAACAGCTTTGGCCGTTCCTGGACTAAGTGCTAACTAAGCAACAATGTATCTTTTCTGTGTTCAAACTAAATGTATCATCTCAATAAAGATTTAAATGTTGCAAGAAATAAGCTTCTCCGGGTGCCTGATTCTTGGGCCACCAGGCCTTGCAGATCCCTAAGGAAGGTAGCACTGTAGCACTGTCCTCCCATTGTTCATCGATTCGCTCCAGCGGGCACCAGTAAAGTCTCCATTGTGAGACTTGATGCAAAATAGTGACTGAAAATCTCAAGAGTTCACTTACCCGGGTTTTGTCATTGTCCTGCAGATAGGGATATCTAGGGAGATAGTGACTTACCAGTTACTTTGTAGGGCGGGACTTCCCCCCCCAGTACTTGGGGAACTCTCCCATGATAGGTGAGGGCTGCCTGAGTTATGCCCTACGTTGCTTGGGGGACCATGCAGTGCCAGGCATGCCATCCCCCCCACCCCATGCTCCCCAGCCCCTTGAAGCAGCTTCCCAACTCAAGAGCTACTTAGTTATCATATCGGTGGGGGGAGTCTGGGGGCACACTAGTGTTGGGGGGCAGCTCCCTCTGGTGCTCAGGTCTCTCTCCTATGCAGAGCATCTGCTCACTCCCTTGAGCTTATCTCCAGCCCCAAGAGCTTTTGGAAATAGTTTTCCCAGCTTTACTGAAACTTATGTCATTTCTGAGCCCTGTCCACGTTCACGTCCCCGTGACCACCAGCAAGTTCACGGCTTGCCTTCAGGAACCCCAGAGCCCACAGATTGTACTGTAATAACCGGGGGCTCTCAGCACCCTGATGGCTAATCTCCCCCACCCCCAACCCCACGAAAGTGGGGACATTGGTGATTTAGACCAAAATGAATGGTTGTTGTTGTTTTTTTTTCCCCCCTCTCCAGAAATGCTCTCTTTCCAAATGACACTTCGGTCATGGATCTGATATGGACCAAGTGACCCTCCTTTGTCACCTCTCTTTCCGTTGAGCGGGTCGGGAGAGCAAGGCTGGAAGCTATACCAGCCCTGGGAGTGGGGCAAGCAGTTCTAAGCTAAGCTTATGCTGCCATCTGCTGCCCATCTGTCGACATAGTCCAGGCCATAGCATCAACCCCAGAAAACACACAAAAAAAGCCAGTGACTTTCTCCCACCTTCAAACCCAGCCATAGTTGTAAACAAAAAAATGCCACTTAAGTTCTGGGCTTATGTGTCACCCTGGTCGTATTCTATGAGGTTTAGCCCATTCAAGTGTTTTGTTTGCAGAAGTCAGTGCACACACACCCCAGCTTCACTCTCCTGACCCCTCTGCCTCTCCAACTGTCACCCCCACACTTAGAATTGGGGTGCATCACCTGAGCCACTCCCCATCCCACTCCTTGACCCACCCTCTTACTGTCATATTCCCCCCCCCACACACACACACACTGCTACCTACATTCCCTCCACAGCTCTATGCCTTCCACAATTCCCCCGAAATTGCGTTTGCCTTGCGTGCAGCCGGCCCGGCCGTGCTGGGTTGTGTTCCTCCGCCTCTCTCGGAGAGCCCGGCAAGCTACCGAGAGTATCTCACCCCCACGACAAAGTCTGACAAACTACCTGTGACGTATTCAATATGCCAAACACAGTAACAACAAATCTCACGATGGAGACGTTATTGGGTCTGCTCGAGCAAATCAATGAACAATGGGAGAACCGTGACTGTGACACCGTGACTGAGTGTACCTGGGGGTAATTCCACACTTACCTCACCATCACCGCTTCTGTAGCCATTCCTGGCTACAAAAATACAAAAACTACCCCTAGTTTGTCCCCAGCCACCAGCATGCCTGGCTCAGAAACCATCTTCACGATCGGGGGCCACAGTGAGCCTTGGGGGAAGCCCACACAGACCCTCAACAGCAAACACATAAAGATGCTGCCAGTCCGGGCCTCTCGGCTTCCCTCCTCCTTTGGGCATGCCATTAGTCACACAGACACATCCCTGCACCTTCAAGGGATGCCGGGGCCAGAAGGGTAGGCAGTGGGACTGATTCCACGGACCCCCCAAAATGATGGGTGTGAGACCACCACTCCCAGTGGTGGAAACATGGAGGGGCAGGATTAGGTAGGGTGGTGGGGGAGGGAGGGAGGAATGAACTGGAGCCCACATCTTTCCATTCAGGGGCACCCCCAGAGGTTCTCTGGGCTTCTCCTGGCTCTGCACTCAGTGCTGACTGACAGTGCTCTTAGGGAAACAGATGATGGGGTGCCAGGTATTGAACCCGGGTTGGCCATGTGCAAGGCAAAAGCTCCTTACCTGCTGCACTAAATCTCCCCCAGCCTTCCTGGGAAGGCTCCTGCCTGGAGACTCTCAAAGATCTCGATCCCATCGTCGGGGAATGTTCTCGAGTGCCACTGTGCAGGCCCAACCACCGCCCCTCCCCCACACACCTGGTACTCACCGACACCTCCGTTCACCCCCCGCACCCTGGCTTCATCCACACAGACTCAGGTGACTCTGGTGGTCGCACACAAGGGCCCCCCTCCTGCACTCCTATCATATGCATGTGCCCCTCTCGGTGCCTACCTGATGGACACACAGGAGACAGACACGTGGGACCATGTCCAAGGCAGCGTCTCTCGGGGTGTGCCGGCGTGTGCCGGCACCACTAGGCACCCAGGTGTGCTCAGTATAGCGGTGATTGTGGCCTGCGCCCATGTGTGCTCAGGAGAGCGGTGAGTGCCAGGGAACGGTGAGGGGACTGAGCACT